TTTATAATCTTTTTTCTTTAATTTTAGCCTTCTATCGCTAATGCAACAAACATTGACACGTTACTAGTAGCAACAGATAAAGAAGAAAAAATTACGACACCACCAGAGGCTTTACAAGATAAAACAGCATTTATTTTCAATAATCTTAGTCAACTTAATTTACAACAAAAATGTGATGAAATTCGAGAAATTGTAACAGAGGAGTATTGGCCTTGGATGGCTCAGTATTTAGTAATGAAACGTGCAAGCATAGAATTAAATTTCCATGCCTTATATTCAAATTTTTTAGACTGTTTGAAATTGCCAGAAGTGTATAAAATGGTTACTAGAGAAACATTTAGAAATATAAAAGTTTTATTACGGAGTGACAAAGGAATAGCGAATTTTTCAGATCGCTCACTTTTAAAAAATTTAGGTCACTGGTTAGGGATGTTAACTCTTGGCAGAAATAAACCTATTTTGCACATTGATATAGATCTAAAAAGTTTACTTGTTGAAGCATATCACAAAGGTCAACAAGAACTTCTTTATGTCGTTCCATTTGTTGCTAAAGTTCTTGAGAGTTGTGCAAAAAGTCGTGTTTTTCGTCCACCTAATCCTTGGACAATGGCAATTATGAATGTATTAGCAGAACTACACCAAGAACCCGATCTAAAATTAAACCTGAAATTCGAGATAGAAGTATTGTGCAAAAATTTAAGTATCGACGTGGGTGAATTGAAACCTGCGCTTTACTTAAAAGATCCAGAAAAACTACGAAATTTAGAATACCAGCTATCACATCCTAATAAAAAATCTGAATCAAACAACAATCAGCAACAAACTCAAGGTCCTATCGAGGAATTGGTGGGACCTACTACAACTGGAACTATTGTTCCACAAACGGCTCCAGCAAATACAACACCATCTTTACCTACTGGTCCACCAGAACCACGTTTCAATTATATGGATATATCTGTAACAGGAATTGCTAATATTTCTCAGCATATCACTATTAATAACAATTTACCATTGTTTCAAACGCATCCACATTTAAAACAGTTTGTTCGTCCAGCTGTTGAAAGGGCAATTCAGGAATGGATTCATCCTGTAGTCGATCGATCGATCAAAATAGCTCTAACTACTAGTGAACAAATTGTGAGAAAAGACTTTGCGTTAGATCCAGAAGAAGTTCGAATGAGGACGGCGGCAAGACATATGGTTCGTAATTTAACTGCTGGAATGGCTATGATTACTTGCCGTGATCAAGTTTTGGCATCAATTAGTACAAATTTAAAACAAGCTTTTCTAACTGCAATGATGGGTACAACTCCACAACAAAAAGAACTTGCAGAACAAGCAGCTAACGTAGTAGCTGCTGATAATATGGAACTTGCTTGTGCATTTGTACAAAAAACAGCTATTGAAAAAGCAATTCCTGAAATGGATAAACGTTTGTTGAATGAAATTGAATTGCGAAAAATTGCGCGGCAAGAAGGAAGAAGATATTGCGATCCGTTACTTAAATATCAAGCTGAGAGAATGCCTGAACAAATAAGATTAAAAATTGGCGGAGTGACTCCACAACAAATGGCTGTTTATGAAGAATTTGCGAGAAATATTCCAGGATTCTTGCCATTATCTGAACGAGACACGCAAGCTTTATTAATGCCAAAACCAGTTACAGTATGCATTTTGTGCCGTATTATTATAATTTTTATGTAATATCGTTTATTTACAATACCTTTTTTTAAAGGAACCTACAGTAACTGCATTTGCTGCTAATCCTGCAATGGCAGTAGCTACAGCACAACAAGTCGCTGCATATGCAGCAGCTGTGAGTAACGATGAAGTTGGAGCGATGTTAGAAAAACTTGCAGCTGAAGTCGAAGTACTACTTGCTACAATGGGTCCAGCTGCACCTCCTCCACAACATGCTGCTCTCCATAGTCTGTTAGACTCTATTATCCTAACACGAAGATCAAGAGACGCAGGCGCTGCTATGACATTACTTAAAAAAGTGAGTTACAAGATATATGTATTTAAGTATATGATACAATCTATATATTCCTAATTTTAGGCTGTAGAAGGTTTATTAGATGGTCCTACGATTACTAGCGATGTAATAGATTCACAAATTATAGTACGGTATAGAGAACTTCATTTGCGCATTCTGAAATGCCTTCAAGATCCACGTGCTTACGGCATGCAATGGACAAATAAACATGTTACTCGCTGTTTAACAGAGTGTAGAGAAGAGTTTCGATACAACTTCGAAGCTGTTGATTATCTTATCAGGTATTTTATTTTTCATGTTATATTACTAAACCATTATATTTATTGGGATAATGAAATGTAAATAATTATTATTGCTTTTAGGTCTCATTTAATTAATCTTCCACAATATGATTTAGCTTTGGCTCAAGCTATAGATTCTGGAAACGCTATGGCAACAGCATTTGCTATGCAGTTGGTGCAACTTTATTTAATTGATGAAAGACAAACTACACATGTTACCGAATCTGACCTATTTCACACAATTGAGATACTTGCCAGAATAGCTCATCATAGAGCACCACCTGAGGGGTAAATAATAATTATATAATATTAATACTTGATGAAATAATTAGTTTATAATTAATTGAAATTAAATTTACATTCTTTTAGGATTTTATTATTTAGACTTACAAGTCTTATAGAATCTTTGCGTGCAAATCATGATCCAGGAGTATTGGCAGATAGAGCTCCTGCTGGTCCTACAGCGCATATACACTCTGGAATTCTACAGGTGAGAGTAAGTAAATTCTGCCAGTCTTAAGGTATCAAGAACACACGTTTGTATGTACAATTTATGTTGTTTGTTTTTTACAGGCTCGTGATTTTGACGATCCACCTGGATTAATGGAAAAAACAGAATACTTATTACGTGAATGGGTGTCAATGCATCATAATCCAACGCATGCTCGTGACCCCACAAAAGCTTTCGGAATGTTTGTTCATCAAATGAACATTCATGGGATCCTTAAAACAGATGATCTCATAACAAGATTCTTTAAACTGAGTACTCAAATGTGTGTCGATCTGTGTTATCGTGCTTTAGCTGAAACAACTGCAGCACCATCTGTTGTTCGTGCAAAATGTTTCCATTCGTTGGATGCTTTTGTTCGTTTGGTCGCACTTTTGGTAAAACATTCTGGTGACAGTACAAATACTCATACGAAAATTAATTTACTAAACAAGGTTTTGGGAATCGTTGCTGGCGTATTACTACAAGATCATGAATTACGAGGAACTGATTTTCAACAACTGCCCTATCATAGAATTTTTATTATGCTTTTCTTGGAACTTTGTGCTCCTGAACCTGTATTGGAAGCAGTAAATTATCAAGTATTAACTGCTTTCTGTCACACGCTACATATACTTAGACCAGCCAAAGCTTCAGGATTTTGTTATGCTTGGCTAGAGTTAGTTTCACACAGAGTTTTTATCGGGCGTATGCTTGCGATTACACCACAACAAAAATGTTGGGGCATGTACGCGCAACTTCTAATTGATCTCTTCAAGTACCTCGCACCGTACCTTCGAAATGCTGAACTTGCAAAACCTGTTACTTTATTATACAAAGGAACTCTTAGAGTGCTATTAGTTTTATTACATGATTTTCCTGAATTTCTTTGTGATTATCACTATGGATTTTGCGATGTAATTCCACCCAATTGCATACAGATGAAAAATCTTATTTTAAGCGCATATCCAAGAAATATGCGATTACCCGATCCATTTACACCGAATTTAAAAGTTGATATGCTACAAGAAATAGCACATGCCCCTCGAGTATTGACAAATTTTGCGTCTATGATACAACCATTAAGTTTCAAGAAAGAACTTGATTCATATTTAAAAGCGCGTGCTCCAGTTACTTTTCTTTCTGAATTGCGCAGTAATTTACAAGTGTCTCAAGAAGCTGGTGTTCGCTACAATATTCAATTAATGAATGCTCTAGTACTTTACGTTGGAACACAAGCTATAGCTTTCATTCGCAGTAAGGGACATACTCCCAACATGTCTACTATCGCGCATTCCGCACATATGGATATATTTCAAAACTTGGCGGTAGATCTCGATACAGAAGGTCGTTATTTATTCGTAAATGCAATTGCAAATCAGTTGCGGTATCCTAACAGCCATACGCATTACTTCAGTTGTACTCTTCTATATTTGTTTGCCGAAGCTAATACAGAAGCGATACAAGAACAAATTACTAGAGTTCTTCTTGAAAGACTTATTGTAAATAGACCGCATCCATGGGGTCTTCTCATTACTTTTGTCGAGCTTATTAAAAATCCAACATACAAATTCTGGACGCATGAATTTGTTCATTGTGCACCAGAAATTGAAAAGTAAGTTATCAATAACATGCTAATAATATTGATCGTTCGTGCATTATTTATTTTTTAATTTGTATTGTTTCAGATTATTCGAGTCGATAGCTCGATCGTGTATGGTTCAAAAACAAGTACAGCCTACTCCGGAACCGGAGATCCCAGAGTGATAGGACGCTTTATTTTTCATTGTCGATTTGTGTACAGTAAAAAAAGAGCATAAATAATGAGTCGCGTGTAAAAAGTTGTTAATGTACGAATAGATGTACTATACTTTGGGCTTAATTTTTGACGGATAGATATTGAATAATCGTATATTAAGAGTATCAATCGAGCTAGAATAAGCGAGACTATTATTATGTTAATATTGTAATAAAAATATTGTTGCATCGATCAGAAAGCAACGAACATTCAACCTCACAAAACGTGTCTTTCGAACAGTGTATTTGAAACAGTGTGTTACCATGACATTGTAATATTATAGCACAAATGTCAGTATAATTCGTATCATAATGAAGAAGAAGTCAAGAGTGTTCAAGGAGTAATAGTGAATTTTTATAGGTTAAATTAAATATGATGTATATTACGAGTAAGTGGTATATTGAATCAGTACCAAAATTAATATGTTATGTAAGTCATTTAGGGAGTACTTGCAGAATGTATGGTGCATTTGAAAATCTGTAATATAGTATATAATTATTAGTATTGATGTAATTTTTTAAGAATGTAGCTATAAAAAAAGATAAAGCTGATTAATTAAAATCTGGTTTACATGATCCTTTGCTTTATACGAAGTATATAGTTAATTTATAATTATCACTTATTAAATAATTTATTAAATATTATATACATTATTTATATATAATTCATTTATATATAATTCAAAATTTATATCGTTAGAGTTAAACAACTTGATGATCACGCGTTGCATGGTAAGAATCCCTTTCCTTATCTGGAAATTTGGTCGGTAGATTAGGACTATGTAAATGACATTTTGCAGGAAATTTTATTCCTGCTACATCTACCTCGTAATCTCCTGATAATATATATTCATTTGTCACTTCTTGTGCGCGTCCTTGCGAATCAAAATTTTGAACAAATCCAAGACAAACCTAAATAAGAATTTATTAACTATTTTTAAAAAATATAATATTCGTACGTTTCATGTGTTTTTGCAATTGTTTAAAGTTTTATAGTTACATAAATTTAGTAATTTTAATTCATACCTGCTTTTTGAATGTAAATCCGTAACCTGTAGTAGTTGTCATTCCGCAATATTTTCCATTTCTAAAAATAGGTTCACTACCCCAACACCATGTGTCTAACTCAAGATCGTGATCATTTAATAACAATTGTACATATTTTCGTTTTACACCTTCTTCACGTTGTTTCAGAAGCGCATCTCTTCCAATGAAATTCACTCCTTTCTATTAAATATATATTTTTAAAACATGGTTTCAATTAAATTTTAATATATAAATTATGTAAGTTATAAAAATAGCTACGTCTAATTTTACTCTCCAAGTTCGCCCACATTCCAAAGGAGTAGTAAAAGTATCTAAATCTTGACCCCAAAATGCATAAAATTTTTCAACTCGTAAAGCTCGAGTTGCATAATAACCAGCGTGTTTTATCCCATATTTAGCTCCAGCATCTATCAGTCTTGTATAAACGTGCAACGCAAACTACAAATTCACAATACACGTATCGGTAGTATATAAAATTAAATTTGGAAAATATTTCTTACATGAAATTTAAGATATTTACTTCATTCGGAATATATAAAACATAGCCAAGTTCTCCAGTATGAGTTAGATTCATTGTGCGTATACCATTAGCAAGACCGACATCTAATTCCTTTTAAAGTAATAAATATATGATAAACAACGATATTTACTTATAATTAACAATAATTACCTTAAAAGTAAAAAATGGAAAGTTTTTGGGATTTAAATCAATATCTGTTAATTCTGATAACAATTGCCTAGTAGCAGGACCCATGATACAAATTGCTGTATATGCTGATGTTACATCAGATACTGCTACAGAACCATCTATGGGTAAATGACGATTAATCCAATGCTTGCATCGAGTTTGTTGTATAGTAGGTGCAATCATCATATAACTTAAATATTAAAAGAAACATACATTATATGTATGATATAACTATATTTCATCAGAGTTGCAAATACCAAACTTACTGATTGGGAGCAATACGTGCTAAACTACAATCATTTTCATAGCCTCCACGATGATTTTGTAGACCTGTATGAATAATACCTCCTACTGGTACATCCACATCATTGGAACATAAATATTGTAAAAAGTCGACTACTTCCATTCCGTTTGACTAAAACAAATATAAATTATTTGATATACTATATTCATACGTTATTTATAATAATGCATCATACCCATAAATCAATTTTAGTGAAAGAAGAATAATCACTCAGTCCAATTGTTTCACGACATGCTGCATATTCTTTCGAAACCGCTTCAAACCACGGTGGTTTACTAAACGTATTTGTATATGCTATCTTACATCTTTGAAATCCATCAATCGTCTCTAAATCTGTGTAGCAAAGCAATCTGTATAATAAAATCCAGTTTCTCTTTTTACAATACGGATACATTAATAAATAACATTTCACATGGAATTTTATACTAAAAAATATTTTTATATCAGTCTTTACAACTTGGTAAACTTACCATTATCATCATCTAACTGAAACCAGGATGGTCGTTCATATCCCATTACTTGACCAAATATAGCTCCAGCTTCTCGAAGTTTTGGATAAATTGGAGACATTCTTAAATTCCTACCAGTCTTAAATTCATGATGTGGATATTGCAAAGCATAATGCGTACCAGGAACTTCTTTTACTCGATCGCGTAAGAATTTGCGATTATTGTGAAGTCCCAAAAAACGTGACACGTCTAGCTCGTACATATCTAAAGATGTCGAGCCGTTAACAATTAATTCTGCAGTTGCTCGACCAACTCCACCAGCCGCTGATATACCCACCTATAGAAATTATACTTTTATATATTTTTCATTTTACAAGCATATTTTATCACAAGTTAAGTTAACTTACCGTTTTCATACCAGCAGCAATATAATAATTGCGTATTTCTGGTGCTTTACCAACTATCCATTTACAATCTGGAGAAAATGCTTCAGGACCATTACATAATTTTTCTAAAACTGCATTTCCTAAACTTGGGATTCTATAAAGCATTTGTTCAAGTAAAATATGAAAATGGTCCCAATCCTCTGGTAAAAATCTTTGTTCTGTACCTTCTAAATTAAAATTGATGTTAAATTAAAATTGCACGTTTAAATCTACACGAGATCAGTGATAAATAAAAATTTATAACGGACCAGGTATTGTCCCATCTTCAAACGCTGGTTTTGCTACTGGTTCAAAACCACCGGCCAAAAAACTTCCATTATTTTCTCGAAAATAAATATACCCATCTAAATCTCTTATAACTGGGGTCATAGGATCTAAACCATCAATTAATTTTGTATGCAAATAATAATGTTCTACTGGATGAAGAGGTACCTACAAGTAAAATATATATAATTAAAATTATTTATAAAAATTATATTCTTCATTTGTCGATAAAAATAAATAAGAAAATATTTAGTAACCTTTACGTAAGGTTCGCTTAATTTCCCTACATTACGTGCCCAAAATCCAGCACAATTGACAAAATGTTCACATTCAATAGTACCATGTGTTGTTTCTACAGCTTCAATCACGTTATTATCATTTTGCGTAATAATTTTAGTAACTTTACAATTTTCAAATACTTTAACACCTACAATTATTAAAGGTTATTTTGCAACCTAATTACGTGAAATTGAATGTATTTTCTTAGTTTTATTTTCTCCGAAGGTCATAAGTACCTTTCTTTTTTGCTTCCCCTATTAATGTTAAACAAATTTGATATGGATCTCCCACCCCATCTCCTGGGATCCATAATCCACCAACTAAGTCATCTATTCGTAATAATGGACATATTTCTTCTATTTGTTTTGGTGTAATCAAATGACATTCAATGTTGCAGGATCTAAAAGTATCATAGCATATATTTAATTAAGATACATTATTAAAGTTAATAACTGACTCACATAGATTGTGCTTTCATTCTTCTAAATACAGTCATACGATCTCTTGTGCGTGCTAAAGAAAGACTGCCACATTGTTTCCATCCTGTTGATAAACCTTTTTCTTCTAATTCTTTATACAATGCTATGCTATCGTGAGCAAGTTTAACTTGTGCTAAACTTGGTTTAAAAGCTCCTACTAATCCTGATGTATGCCAGGTTGTTCCACCACCTAATCTAAATTTAAATAAAGTAAATGTATTTTACTGGAAATATGTTTTTATAAAATATTTTTTCATACCTGCCACTTTCTACAATAACAGTTTGAGATCCTAATCCCAAAAGTGAAAGATGATAAGCAACTGCACCACCCATAACACCACCTCCACATATAACAACTTTTGCTTCCTTAGGAAGTGGATCATCAACATCTTCATTTGTTTCTACAGTAGATTTTGAACTACAATGTCTTATTCTTTTATTGTAATTATAAAAAACGATGTTATTCCATTTTGTTACAAATTTATTACAAACCAATTTACAATGATGCCACATTGTTATAATATTTTATTTAGATAGAAATTTAACGTCTTTTATCAATTTTCATATAGAAACGATCTAAATGTATGTTTATAGATGACTGCATTTCTCTTAGGTTATAAAACGCAAAAGACAAATTGTTCACTGTACTATAATCTCATTTTTTGTTTCCAGATGTTAATTATATTAAATTAATGTCTAATGCAAAGAAGTTCAAAATAAACTCAATTTTTAATAAATATTACAATAAATATCACATGTATGTTCTTATATTATATACATAAATACGATGCATTAATGTTACATTAATACATTATGAAAATGATTAACTATTATCATGTTAAATAAATTTCAAATTTATCTAGATTACAATATTAACTGTTATATATTGAAAACTTGTATACCGAAAATAATAAAGGTTTTTTATTGAAATAAATTCGATTCATTTTATTTAGTACTATATTTAGTATTATAATCTTGTGATTCTAATGCAGGATATAATTTAAATATTTTATTATAGTATCTATTATTTAGTATTAAATAAGTTTGGATATATATTGTTAGTTATATATATAACTAACAATATAATAATAACAATATAATAACTAACAACATAATAATATAACTAACAAATGGACACATTAAATACATTAAAACCACATATATGTTATATTAAAAACATAAAACATTTAAAATTTATTTCTCATTTGAATCAAGTCTGCTGTGTGTTTATGGGAAAGCTAATTTTCAGAAATAAAAAATAAGTAAAAAATTGTTATCTTAAATATGTAAATGACTATAAATAAATAGTCTAAGATGCAGTATTAATGCAAAATGAATTTATAAACAATTCATGTTCATTTGTACTATTTCATAAGGGTACAATAAAAATGAGAAAAGAATATAATTTACAGAACATCAACTTTATTTCATAGTAACATAATTAATTGATATTTTATTTTGAAAATGTAAACTTTCTGTTATATATATTATAAAGTATTTATTTTTATTTAGAAGTATACAAACTTTTGTGTTATAAAAAAAAACAGCAGTGCACATCATTTTCAATATTACATTGTTATTCACATGTGTGTGTGTGTGTGTATTAAATGAAACTTCATAAAAACAGATATAAATTGTGTAAGTTTGTCAGTTTTAACAATTTAAAAAAATAGATTTTTAACAATATTTGCAGTAGCAACTAATGTTAGTTATTAATACAAGTTAAATAGAAGTATCGTCTATAATATTTATATATCCAGCAAAAATAATGCTGAAAATTTTTAATATTATCTCAGGTAGAAGTAATTTTATATATATATTGTATATGAAAATTTGTATTGTATACCTATTATAAACAAAATTGTTAATAAATTTCGTATTTATTTTGTACTGCATTCGGCTTAATTATTTTATAATTTTGTAATGAAAATGTTTAAAAGCATAATATAAGTTGATTTTTAGGAACTGTTTCATTTAATATTATGTGCAATCTTGTGCATTGTATACATCAAATTTTCATGTGAAAAATATTTAAAACTAATTTTGGTCATCGCAAATATTTGTTAAATATAAAGATTAAAAATTTTATATTTCAAATATAAAAATTAAAAATTATTCGTTATATATGTATATATATAATGCGACTTTAAAAAGGTTTCAAAGTGAAATGCAATAGATACTATTATTGTGTTACTTTATCTCCTATAACGTCCTAGATAAGCTTTACAGTTAGGGCAACTATGATGAACATCCATACATTCATCAATACAGCATGGAATCAAACAGCATCCCAACCAACATCTGTTAAACATAATACAAAAAATCATATCATATAAAAAATGTCAAAAAATTTTTAAAAGATATTAATACCCCATTAGCGCAATTACAACTCCAGATATATAAGCAATCATGCCAGGTTCTGTTTTTGTCGTAGTATCTATTTCTGCATGACAATGTGGGCAAATTGTGTGTGTTGATCCTGGTCCAAGTGGAACAATTGTTGTTACTATAGTTGGTCCGTTTGTATCTATAAAAGAACAACATATTTTTTTATTAATCTTTTTAGTTAATTAGTAAAGTTACAAATTTTGTTATAATAAAAGATAAGAATAAAACATACAAGTTTCTGCAGATGTAAAAGGACTAGCAGGTGGAACACCACCCACTGTTTGTGAATAACCAGGTGGTGCATATGGAGGTGATTCGTAAGGTGGTGGTGGTCCACTTTTGTTCATGATATATTATTTATAAGTAGTATATCTATAATTAAACATAATTATGTAACAATGTATAAACAAATAACAGTAGTATTAATCCATATTTTTAATTGTATTATATTTAATTTTATGGTATCGTAACAAAATATAAACAAAATAAAAGAATAATTTTGTACAATACCCATTATAGAAATAATTGGAATTAATTTTCATAATTAAATAAATAATTATGAAAATATCATCATGTAATAAAATATTCAATTAATAATAACAAAACAATTTACCTTATAAAATTATTAACTATATAATCTAAATACTACGTTATATTAAAAATTGAAATTATTTATTATAAATAATAATAATAATTATATTTTGATATCAATAAACTAATTGTGAAATATAACGTCATAACTAGAATTCCAGTTTATTTGAATTAACGTCATGACAATCCTTTACTAATATTTACTAATATTTATATAAATATGGTACACGATAGTTTCTCCTACCTTAATAAAACAATTACAAATTACACACTAATTATTTAAACAATGTATGAGTAATTTCTAAATATATAATCCATGTGTATAATTTTAATAGGTTTGAAGTATAAACATGAAAAAAGTAACAAATATTTCTACGTATATGTACAGATGGCAGGGTAAGAGTTTCATGAACATTCCATTGAAATTGAAATTACTTAAAATTTTCAAATATTACCTTTTAATCTTTCTTTTATCGAAATTAATTAAATAAATAATCAATAAAGAATTTAAATATATAAATAAAAAAACTAATAATTTCTTTTTATATATCTTTTTATATATTTTTTTCATTGGTTGAGTGCTTAATATAAAGCAGATCATACTATATGCAACACAATGCAATATATGCAGTGTGGATAAGTTTTAAGAAATCAATATCATTTTATAGTGCGTATCTATGTATATCCAAATCATAGTTCAGAGCATGGTATTCAGTCTTATTTGACATAATAAACAATCGTTCGTGCAATGTAAAAACAGATGTTAAGTGTTTCTATGCCTCATCAAATCGCTACTGTTTTCAATGCAAAATACTTCAAAATATTAAAAGATTATAGAAAAATATAAGTTTTTGAATTTTGCACTTTTTCTCATTAAATTTTTTTATATTAAATATTTGTTATTTGTAATGACATCCATATCTCATTTGGTATGAAATATTTTCCAATGTATTATAACTTATTTTTTTTAGTTTTTTAAAAATAAAAATTAATCAACATAATATTAACAGTTTAATAGTTTAATAGTGTAATTATACAAATATTAATAAACATATTTGATTTTTTGTGCGTTTCAATTAAAATTAAAAAATGGTGTTAAGTCGAAATGATAAAAGAAAAAGAAAAGAAGGAGATTTGGTAGATCTTATGGAGCCACTTTCAGAATCTCCAAAAAGGTAAATAATGAAACATTTTAATATAACTAATATTTATAGATTAGTTAATATATATTTTTCATATAATTAGATGAATTGTAAGATATATAAATATGAATGATAATAAATATGAATATATAAGATATATAAATTTAAGGTAATGTATATTTTAAATGACTTAAAAAGAATTTTATTTAATTATATTCATTTTGGTTTTTTTTTTTATTTACCTTTTACATATATATCGTTTATTATAGGACAAAAGTACATGCACAAAGAAAATTTGCACAAGGTGCTACGACAGTTTTCAATCCTTCGCATACTCCTATTAAGGATAAAGAAAAGACTAAACCAGCAGTTATAACAGAATTAATAACTCATAAACGACCAAATACAGAAGATTTCCTGACATTTTTGTGCTTTAGAGGTTCTTAAATTTTTTTCTATTTTATTAATTTTATTTATTTTATACATTAATTTAAATTTTTTTACAGGAACATCAATTTTACCTCCAAGCTTAAATTTTTTTAATGTTGGAAGTAAAAAAGAAAAACTTGATAATAAGCCAACACGTACAGTAACAGATAAAAATGTATCAACTAGTATACCTATTGAAAATCAAAAATCAGATTCAACTCAAAAAGCTATTACCAAAGTGAAACCTGTTATTACTGATAAGAAGAAAGTCCCAAATACAATTCAGAAAAATATTACAACATTTAAAAGTACTACGTCTACGGTACAAGCTCTTAAAAAGAAATATCAAGAACAACGTCTTGCTAAACAAAGAATCAAAAATAAATTTAAAACATCTTGTGTTATGAGAACAAGATCTTGTACAGAACAAACATTATTAAAATCTGTAAACAAATTAGCACCCAGAAAATTTTTGCCAAGAATTGAAAGTAAGAGACTTGGTTTACGAAGCAGTGTGCTTGCAGACAAAACAAAGAAAGCTTCAAAAGTTAAATCTGTAGCATCTAAACCTAAGAAGAAAGTTATAGTAAAACAAAAGAATAGTACAGATACATCAAATTCAGACTCTACATCTGAAGAAGAAGAAGGTCCTTTAGAAAAATCAACATCACAGATGAAACGTACAATTCAAAAGACTGTTCAGAAAAACATATGTACAAGAAGTAAATCTGAAATGAGGAGAATCACACGTTCTCATAGTGGCACAATTTCTCCAAAAAATCTTTGTAGAAGACCAACAAGAAAAACTAAAGAAGCAGCTGCAGTATACATGGAAATTCTTGGAAGAAAACTTGTAAGTCCAGATTTAGAAAATGATAATATTTCTATGGACAGTTTTCCAGAATTACCAAATACACGTAAAACTACTCAAACAGAAAATGAAATTAAAATTAAAGTAAAACAACCTGTTACAAAAGCAACTACTAAAAACAAAGATGGTAAAATTACTTCTATTCATAGTACATCCAATAAACGATTGGATAAAACAAAGACTAATAAAATTGATTTTAAAAGTAAAAGATTAATAAGAGTTCGCAAGTATTGTGAAATTGATACCGATGAAGAGTCTGTAAGTTCTAATGAAACGAGTAACATAAGACCTGTTACAAGAAGGAGCTTAGGAAAATTAAATAAACCTGTAAATCGATATCTTAGATCTTCTACTAAAAATGTAACTACAAGAATGGAGATTCAAAATAATATAAATATGAAATCAAAATCTCAGGTTCAACATAATATAAAATTTAATAAAGAAAAATTTGTAATGAAGCGTAAACGAGAACAAAGTTCCAAGTCGTTACTTGAAAAAGATAATGGATTAAAGCAAAAAGAAATAAAGAATGCTATTGCTGAAAATACAGATTCTGATGAAGAAACATTAGGAATGTTGCTCAATAAATTGAAAAAGAAAAAAGACGATAATGAACAAAAAGAGATTGTTAAAATTAGTAATCACGATGTTGAAGATAAAACTGAACAATCTGTAAATGAAAGTTTTGTAAAAACCGATCTTTCAAAAATATCAGATGATGAGGAATCTTTTCGGGGATTTACGAAAAAAGCAATATCCAAAGTATTAAATTCTTGCCAAACACGTGTTAACGTTAATCTTTTGGCTACGAAAAAGACCAATGATAAATTAGAAACGGCTAAAATGGAAGATGAACAAAATACAGATGTAACTAAGCATGTAGATAAAGAATTATCAAGTAACGAACCTTTATTAAGTATAAATTCTTCTTCAGTTCTAAATATATTAGAGAATCAACATCTTCAAAAATCTGAAAAGGATAAATCAGAATTATCTGATGAAATAGAAAAGGAAATATCGACAAAAGACATTAAAAACGAATGTCATCATAAAACTGAAATTTCTTCCACGAACGTTATAGATATGTCTTTATCGACGTTGCATGTAAGAAAGGAAAAAGTAAATATGTCGACTGAACAAATTGAAAAATGGTTGACTGAAAGTTCGCTTGCTAAAGAAGAAAGCAAGTTAGAAATGGAAAATGTATCTACTTTTAAATATGACGTATGTGAAAAAAAAACTGACGTATCACACTTATCAATTTCAACAAAAATTCAGCATTTGGTAAGACCAGTCAATGTCACACTTTCTAAATTAGCAGAAAAGGCTAGTGTAAAAGATCGTGTGAGTACGTATAATAAATATGCATCTGTCGTAGTAGGAGAATTACAGCCTGATGTAAAACCACAAAATGAGTTTTCTAATACTAATACCAATACTTGTATTAATAAACAGAGCACAAATTTAAAAGATATTAACAAAGGACGAATTATAAATTCAAATAAAGATTCATGTCCTGGAGAAGAAGGTGATAGTACGTTGAAATCAGATCAAAATTCGATAGATACTTCTAGCGAGAAAAAGATACCGTTAGAAAAGAAAACTATATTTCAACCGAGAAAACCATTTTTACCAAGAGTTAAGGAACGTAAAACAGTAACTCCCAATGCAAATGCTTTTTCTCCGGAAAATGAAAGCAGTGTTTATGCATTCGAAAGTGACACTGAAATTCCTGTTAATACTCCCTTTAGACGTAAAGCTCGAGACTCCAATAAACCAAACGTGATTCATAATTTATCCGAAACTGATGCGGATAAAATTAAAAATAATGCAAGTAAATCTGAGAATAATACAAATAAATTTGATAGTAATATCGATAAATTTGACAATAATGCAAATAAATCTGAAAATAATATAAACGTATCTGTAAATGAAGCAAATAAAAATATAGAAAGAACAATCAAAGATAATTGTGAAACAACGTCGAAAGAAATTCTCAACAGCAATTCTTCAAAGAACGAGAGTGAAATAACAGAAATAAAAAACATGTCAAATTCAACGTTGAATGTGAATAAATTTGAATTGCCAAAAAATTTTGCTACTTTGGCTAATATACAAGTTCTACCATTAGATAAATTAACGACAACGTGGAGTAATGTAAATTGTAGTACTTCAATAGCTGTACAAGTAAATCTCGATGACAATGCACAAACGCAAAAACAGATTGGAGAAGGAGATGTGAATCAACAGAAGAGTACAGAAATATCTACTCAAACTGAAAGCGGCAATGAAAATGATGATGAGAATGATGGTCAACTATTTTATATACCTTTACAAGCTGTCACGAGGAATGGACCGAATTTAGTTCAGGGACAGCAATTGATTCAAGGTGTAGCTGTAAAGCTCGGTACTGAAGGACCAAATGGTCCTAATCAAAAAGTTCTTTTAAGAGCGAAATTGGTTACAAAACCTCCGTCAACGATTGCACGTTGTCCTCCTGTAGGCACGGTACAGCCTACAACTCGTACACCACCTAATTCTACACTTGTAACAACCGATCATTCAGTACCGTCTACTTCTTCGAATACAGCGTCGATTGTTACCACGGCTAATTCTGAACCTCAACCATCCACTCCAACTAAAAATGAAAATATAGCGCAAACTGCAAATAAACAAAATATAGGCACTACGTTAAATATAGGAACTGAAAAATTACAAAAGTCTCCAAAAACTTCTAGAGAGAGAAAAACGTCGATTGACTCGAATAAGAATGGGAAAAGGTAATACGATTCTAATGCAGAAAAAATTACATCATTTCTTGCAGTATTACTTCTATTTTTTATCAAACACATTCTGAAATTTTAGATGTCAGATCAAAGCGAAACAAAAAAGTTCTGAAATTTATTCTCCTACTAATAACGTAACGTTTCCAAGTGCAAAAAGTGAAAATATCGAAGCACGACTAGTTGAGGCTCCAACATTTCATCCTACTGAGAAAGATTTTCAAGATCCTTTGGAATACATAGACAAAATAAGGCCAATTGCAGAAAAATTTGGTATATGTAGAGTTGTACCACCACCTAATTTTAAAGTAAGATTTATTAAGAACTATTGCGTTATTAAATACATATATTTATGATTTGATACAAGTACGTTTTTTTTTCTTTTAGCCGGAATGCAAAGTATCAGATGATATGCGGTTTACCGCTTACAATCAATATGTACATCGTATGTTACATAGATGGGGCCCTAATGTAAAAGAAATGATGGCTATAAAAAAATATTTAGCTACGCAAAGCATAACGTTAACTCATCCACCTTGGGTACAATTTTACATTTATGATTTGTCTCTATCTTTCTTTGACATATTTGTTATTCCAATTATTTTATAGATTGGTGGTATGGAAGTTGACCTGCCCCATTTGTATCAAACAGTTCAAAGTTTAGGAGGATTAAAAGAAGTTATTGAAAAGAAAAAATGGCAAAAAGTAGCCGATGGAATGAAAATACCAAAATCTGCTCAAGACCGTGTAACCAAATTAGATGATATTTACTGCAAATATTTGTTACCATATGATACGTTATCTCCAGGTATTTATAGATGAATGTAAAAAATATGATACCGTTAAAAAACTGTATAATTTTTTTAAGTTACTTATTAATAACGCATTTTAATGCATTCGAAAATAACGCAGGAGAACGAGGTAAATTATTCGATGAAGTCGAATCTGAGTGGATAAAAAGAGAAAATAAAATCTTGCTAAGGCAAAATGCGTCGATAAGTGAAAATGAAGATGATGAAGATGATGATAGCTCTGATGAAATCGAGGAATGCATTGTGAAAGTAAAACTTTCAAAATTATAATTACAACTGTAATTTTCGATTCTTCGATGTTTAATTTTTTAAAATACAATTTTACAGGGTAGAAACATGCCGTTAAATGCCTTTTATCGCATTGCACGTAATACACAACGTATGTGGTTTGGTGAAAATCAGCGATCTACAAACGAAACTGAAGGTGCTTCTGCCGATGAGGTTGAAAGTGCATTTTGGAAACATGTTGCTGAAAGAAAACGACATGTTTGCGTACATGCTGCGAGCATTGATTCAAGTGGGCGTGGTTTTGGATTTTCAGTTGCTAAAAATAGTCCATTCGCAAGACATCCATGGAATCTCAAAGTACTTACTAATAATGCTGGTTCGGTACTAAGAGCTTTAGGTCCCATAATGGGTATAAAAATATTTTTTTAAATTTTTATAACTAAAACGTAAACAGTTATAAATTGATACTTCTTTATTTACAATTACTTTAATTCTATTTATAGGTGTAACAGTACCAACACTTCACGTAGGTATGTTATTTAGTGCATGTTGTTGGTACCGTGATCCTCATGGTCTTCCTTGGATAGAATATTTACATACTGGTGCTAAAAAAATTTGGTACGGTATACCAGATGAGCACAACAATAACTTTAGAGAGGCTCTTTCAAAAATGGTTCCACGATATTGCAAAAATAAAACTATATGGCTACCTTCGGATACAGCGATGGTTCCGCCAGAATTGTTAGTTGGTAATGGAGTATCGCTATGCCAAACTGTTCAAGAACCAGGACAGTTTATAATTGTATTTCCTAAAGCATTTACATCAAGCATATGCACTGGTTACGTAGTATCTGAAAGTGTTTATTTTGCACAACCATCCTGGTTAGAAACTGCGGAACAAGTATTTAAAGTGAGCATAATATTTTTCTATTTTTTATTTTATTTATTATATGATACGACTATATAATTTTAAATAATTATTGTAGGATATACAAGATAGCTGTGAGCCATCGATTTTTTCATTTGAAAGATTATTATTTAATATCATTAATGACTCTAGATCTCATATAGAAGTATTGAAACAGGTAAATAATTATTATATAAAATATGTGATATAATAAATAATTTACAAATAATTATATTTACAGATTCTTCCAAGTGTAATTAAAATCCGCGAGAAAGAAATAAGTTATCGTAAGCAATTAGAATCAATAGGTCTTACAAATACAGAAAGATTACCTTTGCCAGATAGTGGAAAACGAAGGAAAGGAAAAAAAGTAAAAGAAGATGATGGCGACTTTGAATGCGAAATTTGCAGAGCTAATCTGTTTGTTTCGTTAATCAATAATTCACAAGATGATAGTGTTTATTGTCTGTCACATGCATTGCAATTATTTAACAGAAAAAAACAAATTTTAAAACATTATACTCTAATGTATACGTATAACGAGGTGAGTATGTTCTTTTTTAATATCATAAATTTAAATGGTTTTTACAAATTATGATTCTATTAAAAATATATTTTTATTTTCCAAATAGGAAGAATTAAATGACTTGATTCATAAACTAGAAGAAAGAATTGAAGCTAAATCTAAAAAGTCTAATCAAATCAAACAAACAAAGTAAAAAAAATTACAAGGTTATTTATTAAATTACGTAAGTAATAATTATTTATTATTCTATGTAATAATAATTGTCGTAAAATTTTATTTTGCATATGTTATATCTATTTATATCTATCATATTTATTCTTCTTATCATAGCAATATAATTGTATAAACAAATTTTTTTTCGTAATTTTAAAGCAAATAAACTTAAGGTATTTAAAAAATTTAATAATTTCATGTGCACCTCGAATAAGAATCTTAATTTTCAAAATAAAAGGATTACTTTTTGTCATGTGTAAATCGTATTTCAAATCAGAAGTACGATATTTACATATATATTTCCTTGAAAAATGATTTATTCTTGTATTATAATTATAAATATAATTTGATATAAGATACACGAATATACTATAATTATATTTCAATAGTTTACAGAGTTACAGAAATATATTCTTATTAACCCTCATCCGTCTTTTGTATGACAATTTGACACATTTTTCATATAAAATGTGTAAGATCACGATATAAAATACACCTGAGAGTAGGTTGTATGAATAAAATTTTAGTCTATTTACTATTTACTATTTACTATTAATAAAAGAATTTAACTGTTCATCTATTCGTTATGGGTATTGATCTTTTATCGTTATATTTTGACATCGAGGGACAAATTAAGTTGAAAAAAATGAAGGATGGATGAAGGTTAAATATTTCTTACAATAGGTAAAATCCATAAGATGCATTTAAGAATTAAGTAAGTAATAACGTAATAACGTACTTATATATGCAAAATTTATTATGAATACTTTACGAAGTAAAATTTATAATATTATAACGAAGTAAAAATTATAATATTCTCAATATGAGAACATATATATTAAATAAATTTCTTTGACAAATTATATCATGATTATCAAATAAACATCACGTAATAAACTCGTAGCATTATTTTTTAAATTTATTATGTATGTTGATATACTAAATAATATATAAAAAATGATTTATGACTATTATTAATAATGTTTGTCTATATATATATTTATGTATATCATGAAAAAATAATATTAGATAATAATAATTATGGCTATTTATGCAAATTTTGACTGAGAAATAGTTAATTACATTCAGTTTTCTTTTGAAATTAATAACAATTTATAAAATATACACAATTTTTGAATGTTTACATTATTATCTATTATTATGCTGTGTGTGTTTCTAATAGCCTTATTATTTAAACATAAATGTATATAAATAAGATTAATTGAAAAAATTATTACTAAATGAAAAGATACAATTATGTCATTTTTAGGTAAGGAACTAATAACACAGATTGTAATTAAATAATTATAAAATAAATTTCCTTTTAAAGTTATTTGTTATATATTTTATATATATAACATGTACTTGTTTTCTATGTATTATTTGCGCTCTTTAAATTTTTAAGTGTTAAAGTAAAAATTTATTTGTTTCGTGAAATAATGTAAAATAATAGATTCAAAAGCAATTTTGCAAACATAAATTATATCTTTAAAAATAAAATATCCATAACAATTGTTAACATTTTCATTGAAAAATAAAAAAAATACAGATTTAATAATTAAATTGACATATAAAAATATGTACAAAATGCAGTAAATAATATGTAATTAGATGTGGAATGACTTTTAAAAATAAATAAATATTGTATTTTTTAAACTTTACTGCTCTCTACGTTGCAATATATTAGATAATATTTGAGTAGAATTCTCACCATGTTTAATTACATCATCTTCGTCGGAACTAAATTCCGCGTTTAAAAGATTTGTTAGCGATGTCGATTTTTGAGTTAACAAAGGCAAATTTGTGTCAATTCCTTCTTCAGTTTTTAAATTATTACTTGAAAGAGAGTTTACTTGTAATTCCAAATTTTCAGCTTTTTTATTTCTATTTGATAATGCTTTTTGTATAGTATGTATTGTGATTCCACAAAGGCACATTAACAATCCTATAAAATTAAGATCACTCATTTGATCACCTTCCCATTCAACAGCCAATATTAGGATACATATTTCCTAGAAAAATAATAATTAAAAAATTGTAAAAATATTAATATTTTAGATGTATATTTCAGTATTAAATGAAATTATACAATATTATATTTACCTTGATTATGCCAATAATTGAAAGTGTAAGACTAGAAGTATAGGTAACAACTAAAAATTCCATAACTTCCATATGGAAAGCTATAATACTACTTCCAAATACAGCAGTTGTAGTCATTGCAATAGTTTGAACATCGTTCCAATCTGTACTTTTAAAACTATTGTATAGATGAGGTCCTAAAAATAAGATATCATGTTCCTTTCTCGCACAATTAACAAAATTTTAAAAAAAAGCTGTATACAGGTTTATTTTAATTTATAAATATAATTATAACTGTTCGTCAAAGTTATGTATACCTTCAAACCATATCATCACTGGTACAATGGGTAATAACATCCATAACTGCATATAATACATCATGTCAATTGGACTTTTCATTCCAAGTTTAGATTTTTGCATAATTAATTGTGTCATAGTCCACCGAATACCACTTGAAAATGATGCTAAAAGACAAATTATGAATCCAAAAATTCCAAATTGTGTTGATTTATAGGTGAACATAAATAAACCTCCTGATATCATTATTACAATACATGTTAATGTCCAAGACTGTAATAAAGTTTTTTTTTTAATATATTGTATTTTAAATACTCGTATAAGAAATTAATACAAATACCTTTTTTTCTAATTTCAAAAAAAGTGCAAATCCAAGAATAAAAATTATAGTAGTTGATTTTGTCATGGTATATCTAAATAACAATATAAATTATTAATATTCAATCATACAGTACTAGATACGTTCCTTTTTTATAATATAAAACAACATGCACATACAATGACATAGTAATTAATGAAATTGCCCAATTTGATAGACCAACGTCAAGGCCACTAGCTATGCCAACTGGCATAACCATTTTTATCATGCTTTGGAAGGGAAGTTTAAATTGTTGTTTCTTCCAACATGTTCTGATACATCTTATTAAAGCAGATAATAAAAATTTTACCAATAAATGACATATCACCACGATAAGTGGAAAATGAAATCCCTACAAAATTAATGCATATTCAAAATCAAATAACAAATTTTTATAAATTATAGATATCTTTACTTACGTATGTATTATAGAGCCACTGTACATAAAATGTTAAACCTACTGATAAAACAAAATAGCAAAGAATTAATACAATAATTTGAAAAGTTTTTTTCCAAAAAGATACTTCTTTTTTGGATACATTTGAAAATTCTTGAATAGGTTGAAGAAAATAATCCGATGTATCATCTGCATCTTTTGCAATTTGATATTTTATATATGATCTTGTCATACTTTGGAGAAAAATAATCTGTAAGTATAAATTTGTGATATTAAATATAATAGTAAATGGATGTATTTAGTGTTAAATGCATCTATTGTTCTTAAATAAAATGTAAAAATAAAGTCATTTATTACATTACTAAAATATTATTTACTACATGACATAGAAAAACATAAAAAACAATAAATCATTAAATAGTATTTACAAAATATCCTTCTAATGCACTATTTATATTTTTCCTAGCTTAAATCAACAACATTGATAATTAAAATTTACAATATGCGATAACATTATGCAATGTAGTAAATAGAATATTGTAAGAAATATATTAATAAACGTACCGTTTTATAGTTCTTTAAATACAAAATAGTCGTAAATTGTTATATGTTTAATGTTAGACATCTGTTATTAAATTATATGTTTAATAATAGAAATAATTGTATAATAATGACGACAGAATTCATATTCATTCTGTAAATTTATAACATACTCAAAATCATAAATGAGATCGCTAAAAAGGGAACAAAATTAAAATATATATCGTTATCACTTACTTGTATTATGTGACATACGATATAAATGTGAAGTCACGTATAAACATAACCTAAAAATTGCAATAGAAATATTACGTACCGCAATCTAATAAATATTATCAAGAAAATTTTCTTATCAGTTGCAAATTTCCTGTAATGATAAAATTATTTATAGAATTTGTTTAAATTTTCATTTAAATCTTTGATTACTATTAACTTTAAAGTATAAACATAAGTAATTAATATAATTTTATCTTTTAATAATTAGAATTTATAATATATTTGATATATTTATTGTTTAAAAAACATCAATTTTAATTTTGTAAAAATCAAATTTAATCATAGACAAAATACAAATATTGAATAAAATTAATAGTTATAAATAGTAATAAATACTGTACATATTTTTCTACTTAATATTTTTGTATATTTGTACATTTTAATAAATATATTTGTATTATTTGTGTATTTTAATAAAAATAAAAGTCATTGACCATAAGTTTTTATTTTAAAGTATATTTACACCAAGTAATAATGTCAAATAAAAAATTCAAATATTTTATATATATTAAAAATTGTTTTGTATAATCTTTTTAAAAATTGTTCATTTATACTCGGTATAAATGAAATATACATATATAATTATTTTTTATTTTATAAAATATATTTTAAAAAATTAGTAAATAAAATTGTTTACCAGTTAAATGTAGATTAATTTATACATTCATTTATCAAAAATTTGATATTTTTACTATGATTTGAAGACATATTCCAAATTTAAAATAAGAAAATACAATGATTTTAAATACATAAATTAAAAATAATTCAATGAAACATTAACATATTACCCAATTAATGATGATATTTTTCTTTCATTCTACTTAATTGGAATGTCTTCAATTCATTATTATATTATATTCTAATAAGAATTTGTCGTATACATTAATTGATGAATACACATATACAGGATAATTAGAAAAACAGTATGTTACAGTTGACCTAAATATAATCAATTGCATATTTTTATTGTACATATATAATTAACCGCTTTTTATTTATATGTTATCTACGGTCGCTACGTCCACCATTTCTATATCCCCCACGACCACGAGAATTAGTTTTTGTTGTAACAGTTGTTTTTGTTGTTGAATCTCCAGAATATCTAGCAGATCCCCCTGGAAGTCCTGAGGTATTACCACTATTTCCACCAGTGCTATTATTATTATTGTTCCCACTCTTTGTTGCAGAACTACCAGAAGTACCACTAGTAGGTGTTGTTGAATTACTTTGAATTGCCTGTAATAAAGTAAAATAATAATAATATTAACAAAAAAATTAAAAGCAGCTACGTTTGAGCTATTTGCCAAATTAAAAATAAATCGATTATTATTAACATTTACTTAAAAGGTATAACTATATTGAACAATATACCAATGGTTGCCTTCCAGGTTGACCAGCAATATTATTTGCATTTCCATTATTTGTAATGGTATTGTTAACATTACTACCAGGTGGACCAGATCCACTTTGATTAATCATTTGTTGTGCTAAAGCAGGATTCGGTTCACTCATGTTTAACTGTTCATTTATTACCATACAAAATTCTCCTATTTTTTGTATGTCTCCATTTTTTCCAGAATATAACGTTAAACATTGTCTCCAAACAGATGCGTAACCTTTTGTTAATCTTACAATATCCCCTGGTACTAGAAGTTGTCCAGGTTCGTCCCAAATTGAAACATTCATACATGCTGTGCTGTCTGCCACTTTAAACGTTCGAACTTCGCGGTTTTCTTTGGTGATAGTAGGATGACCAACTTCCAGAACAATAAACACTACATTAATGTTTTTTTGACCCGGTCGTATGTCTTTTATTAGTACGTATTCCATTGTTTTAACAATCAATATGTACTTTACACTAGCGCTCTTTACGAATAATTACTTGTACATGTATATCTGAAAATACGTCAAATATACTTTGTTACTTTACGTACTGTTTAAGTTAACTTCCCTATTATCCTTAATATGTATCTGATATAGTATACTATATAAATTTCTTTCTACCAGTACTTGAGTTAACACTATTGAATGTTTAAAATATTTGATTGCGCAAAATAAGAAAGAAGTTCATTAGAAAGGTAATACGGGTGTTATACTGTTGGTAGCTAGTAGAGTAAGTGTCAGCCATCTTATTTTAGTACATCGTACAAACACTAGCTTCGCTACTGTCCTACAATATGCGCGTCATCGAAATAATCTGGAAGCAGCTGGTTGTAACATGACTGTTACTGTTATTACTGCGTAGGGTAAAACTGATGCGTCTATTCGAAATATATATATACATATGTATTATACGTATGTATCCACATACATGATTATGTATACACAACTTACGTTTACTCGTAACTATATACAGAATTTACGCATACATTAAATGTATGCACTTTATTTCATTCTTCTGTAATAATAATATATTTCTTGCTATTATGCAAAGTATACATTGTTTGTTATGTATTAAGATCGTATTGAAGTCATCTTTATGTTAGTTAAAATCTATCGAAAAATTGCAAATGAATTGGAAAAGAAATTATTTCGTTTAATGATAAATGTAATTAATTGTAAACTTATAAAATTTAACCTAATAACTGATTTAAAACTTGTTCTCTGAAATTTGTCATATAGTGAAATAAATGTACTCTATTACTACGAAGCTCGTGTTGCATTCGTTTGCAATTGTTTAAAAAATAAAAAGATTTTTTAAAGATCCCTTTATTTTTTTAATTCTTGTCAATGTTAATTCAAACGAATAATCATAAGTGATGATACTGAAGACTTTTATTAGTAGGATATTAAGAACAAGCTAATATCAACATTACACTTTTAGATAATGGACGTGGACGAATCCTTAGATCCGAAAGAATTAAAAGTTACTCTCGAAACGTATAAAAAATTGGCAAATGATTTTGCAAATCATGATACAATTTTGAAGGTAAGAAACATTTTCGAATTTATTTACATTTTATCTTAATGAAAGTTTACTAATTCTAGGATAAAACCGTTTTGTCATATGTAGCATACGTTTTAGAAGTACCCGATATTGAGATTGTTAATTTGAGTTTAGATATTTTGGAATTATTTGTTAAAAATGTGGATAATTATGTACATATCACCTCTACTTTTGGAGTTCGTGAAGCATTAGACGCAATTATAAATAAATATAATGTAGATGAACCAAAGATATCTAAACGAGCGCAATGTATAAAAGATGATGTAGAAAGAATGAAACCACCAATATATAATTTACGTAGCAGGTGTAGGAGAGTCATAGAACCTAAAAAGTTAAAGACCCATGTGATTGTATTACATGTTCAAGGTTTATTACCGGTAAATATAAGTATGTGTCCTTAATTTTATGTATTTAATATTTTATACAAATTATATGTGTTATAGGAAACTCGAGCAGAGCTAGAGGCAATATTAATAAGAATTAATGGACTAGTTTCTCTTGTAGTTGATGTAGAACATCAGCGTGTTACAATGCGTACTTTAAGTTATGTTACCGCAAAACAAATTGCAGAAGCAATACAAAAAAATTCCGAGAACATGGAAGCAAGATTAGTAACAAGAAATAAATTTAATCAAGAGTATCTTGTTAAATTGGTAGATATTTGTATTTCATAAATTTCAACGTTAACTGTGATTTCTAATTGATATATGTTATTATTTAAAGATTCATACAGGAAATAATGGTGATACTGAAGACATGCCAGATTACTTACCTGAAGAAGATGAGCAAGAAGATGAAAAAGAAGGAGTTGTATCGCTATTGACTGGATTAAGACAAAGTGCTTCGTCATTATACAAATCTACTGCTGAATTTCTACATAATTCATTTTATTGGTAAATTTGTAAAATCCAATATATTAAATACTACTTTTTATTCTATTATCAATGAACAATTTAATAGAAATATAATTATGAAATTATAATTATTTACAAACATGCTTGCATTTTACTATATTTATATTATATTATCAGTCGATGATAATTTGATATTTTCAAATTTTTATTTTGACATTGAATTTCAAATTACTCATTTTTTACGGCATTTAGTTTATTAAGTTTCACTCAAATATTCGTTATACTTAATAAAATAGCTTGAATACTAAGAAATGCAACTAAATTTAGTTCTTATTACATTTGACAAAAATCAGATACTCATTGTTCATTTTTTATTAAAATGTACATATGTATTAAAATTTGTAATTAAGCAGAATGACGAAATATAGAAATTGCAATGTCTAAGTATTTACTTGAACTTTTACATGTTCAATGATAGAATGAAAGACGTTGTAATTATTAATTTGATAATTGTTTTATGCTGAATCGGTATCGACTAGTAACAAGCGAAAAATAATTTATTTTATATTATGTTTAACATATATAATAATTAAAATATCAAATTGTTTGTATTTATAGCAATTTTTTTCTTGATAGTAAGGTCTTTTTACCATGATATGTATATTTTGTTGTTAAAAATAGGCTGTGCAAATATTTATTGTATCTTAATAAGTTAATGTATATTTACATATAAAGTAAAATAATAACTTAACGTTTACTTAAATAGAAGTTTCAAGTTATATAACTGGTTCCTAAATGATAACGATGGTATTATAAATGATTGATACTTTATATCTTGTGAAAAACATTTTATTTCATTTTAACAAAATCAAATTAACTGAATAACTTTACAATGTTACTAAGGTTTGTAATTAATTTAAATATACTAATTATTGTAAATCAACTTTATTTGTTTATAACACAAATTTTGTGTATCTTCTATTATTAAAGAATAATAGAACTAGTCTGTTTAGCTGCCACTGCACAAAAAGGAACAATTTATGCAACTACCCGCATAAATATATAATAGATACAATGTGTGTGATTATCATAAAGTACATTTTTGTATATCTTATTAATTACTTCGTCCAAATGAGCACATCAAAATGTTATATCATATCTTAATTATTATTTTCTTAAGTTTATGTTGTATTGTCTATATTTACAATAGTATAGTAATTGTCATTAAGGCAATTTGAGTTTCAAAGCAGGTACAATAGATGGATGCAGAACACTACTTTGGACAATTGAGTTAACGATATTATCTAGTTTTGCACGTGTAATTATGATATATATTGTTATTAATTTGAAAGAATGAGTATGACTTTTACATACAGTCAAATATTTGAGTTTCAGTGTGAAATTCAGATAATCTGCACTGTTTTGACAATATTACAATACTTCTTATACTAGTATTTTTTTAACATAGTCATTAAATTAGATTGTTTTCATTTATTAATCGAGAAATAAAACAATAAAATTTGTTACATACAATATTAATGCATTCTGTAGTAAGATTATTGGTAAAAATGTTAATGCATCAAAAATATTTAATGACTTTGTTACAGTAAAATATTTCTAAAGCAATACCTCATATTATTTATAATTTAACTTTATCAGAATAGCAAAACATTTATTGAGTTGAAAAATTATTGTACTGATGTGATTCTATTTTCAATTATAAGTTTAATTGCTTTATATTGCACGTGACAATTAAATTTTATTTTATTTCAATAACCACTATTTGGTGTACCTTATGAAAATTGTCACAGGCACTTATGTTATAAAATTTATTTAATAATTGTCATTCCATTACATATTTTCTAAATCACCCAGAAAGACATTTTTCTAATGAAACATTTATTTTTGACGTCATTGTATTTATACACAATATCTCAATTGTAAACTATCAAATACTATATGAATTTATTGTTTTTCTAATTGGTCTCTACACTATTGTAGATTTTGTTTATACATACAAATACAATCTCAAATTGATTCTGCATTCATTGTACGAATGACTAATTCGATTTTAATTGAATATTTTTTATTAATATGAAATAAATGCAACATATGGTTGGTATTAAATTCGTAACTAATTAGTTCAAAGTTCTACATTCGCTAAAAGGAACTATAAAAAAAGAAAGTAAAAGATAATGGAATGAATATTTTAAGATGATTTTTTTCATATGAAAGCATGAAGTGCATGTATTTACAAATAATACTATATAGTAACATGTTGCTACACATGTTTCCATAAATTTTCATTTTTGCTGAAGATATCATCGATCTACATTTTATATCTTTCCTAGAAAAAATAGTTATTGATTTAAATGTCCATTTTCTATAGCGTACAATAAATTATACCATAGATACTGATAGAAAACGTATTAAATAAATTTCAAAAATAGTAATTTAAATTTTAAGATTTAGAATGATTTCATAAATCCGTTTCAATAACTGTCCAATATTTTGATAATATTAATGTAATGTTTCATTGATAAATAATGTGTAAAATTAATGTATATATGTATATATGTATATATATAT